TGGATGTCCCAGACATGCTAAAAAACAACAGCAACACCACTTCGTTGAAGAGTCTTCCAATGTGTCCGGCACCATTAGATTCTACTTAAAGAATGCTCGCTATGAGGTCTAGTTTGCCATCCTTTGAGACACTTTGTTGCCTCCAGCATGTTCTTGGTTGTGAAGATGATCTCTCAAAGCAATGGCCGTCATATCCATGCTTGCAATTGCAGATTGGAACACTTGCTAACCTAGAGCTCTTTGCGGAATGGCACCGCAAGGTACAAGGGCCTGGTCATGGGCTCAACGGCAAGGCTCCCGGTCTCTAGTTGCGTCGTGCTCTCTTTGGTACAAACTTCTGGGGTAGTTCCCGCATCCTTGTTATTGCATCGATGGGGTTGACGCCTATTCACATCTTTTCATTTTTTAAATTATGTCATCGTTCGGGATAGCAGCTGTGAGGGCTGTACTTGCAATGGTTGTCCTCCATGCGCAGTTGATGTAGGGGTTTCAAGCATCAGCATAGGGGCTTGGGTTGCATTAGTCAAATTGTACATGTACACTCTTTGTGCACTTTAGATGCATTCACCTGTACTGTGTAGCTGGCTTGAGCTATCAGGAAAAGGGACCAGATTTGATTCTGGTAGCGGAGCCTAGCTCCTGCTCCTGCGCTACCTGAGCCATATCGGCTTTCCTCGCCTTTGCGGCGACGACGGGCCATAGCAGCCCAGTCCTTTCGACTACATCCTGTACAAGTACTTTGAGACTTTCGTCACCGAACCTGGCCGCGAGGCCCACGCCAACACCACGAACCACGAACACCACGAAGCTTCTTCTTGGAGCATTCCTTCTTCTCGGCAGCTGGCTACACAGAGCTGAAGCTTCGAATCTTGGATTGACATCCTCCAGTCCTTCTTCGATCTACTTCGGCGCGGCGGCCTCGGCGGCACGAGCTCTACGACACGATCCCGATCCAGGACCTGTGCACGATTCTCGGCACGGACACGGAGACGGACGACTAGGGTCTCTACGCTGGTCAAGGGCAACAATGTCGCAGCCTCATCAAGGTGGAGTTCCTTTGGACGAGTGGAGGAAAGACGTTCCTCCAGGAAGCCAGGAGTCGAGGCCTACCCGCTCAAGCTTTTCTTCTCGAAGTTGAAGCTTTGGTGTCGCTGCTGTGAGGTTCCGGACGAGGTCGTTGGGCCTCTCATAGCTGGACGTCTCCAAGGGCGAGCTCAGAGGATAGCATTGGAGTTGAAGCTTGTGCGCCCGGACGGCACCTTCGACGTCGGGGACGCGGCCCTCGTTCGCCTCAGCGTCGACGAGGTGATTGACCCGGCGGACGGTGTGACGATTCTCCAGAGGCACATCCCGAGCGGCGTACAGGCATTATGCAATACGTTGAGAGATGCCTTCGGAGATACGGACGAGGCTCAGACGACGAAGGCTCTCGAAGTTTTCTTTGAACATAAACGACCTCATGGGCAAGAGCTTCAGGAGTTTGCGGCTGAGTGGGACCTGAGGTACGAGGATGCCAAACTGAAGGCCGGTCTGGACATGAACCCGGTGGCTAAGAGCTACTTGTGGCTAAAACAGAGTGGCCTAACGCAGAAGCATCAGGACGACCTTCGACTTCAGGTGCATGGAGACCTCAGCCGCTTCAACGACTTGAGAGCTCTTGCCATTCGACTATCCCGTCGTGTTGCTGACCGTTCCGGAGGCTCCGGCGACGTCTTCTACGAAGAGGACATCAACTACGAGCACGGCGCCTCCGAGGATTGGTACGGCTGGTCCGATTGGGACGATGACGGCTACTGGGCCGAAACCTGGTGGCATGAGGATGATTGGAGCAACCATGACGACGGCTACCAGGACGGCGCGTGGTACGAGGACGACGAAGAGTTCTACGAGGCAGAGGAGCAACCCTGGACAGGCGATCCCGCCAGTGAGCCTGGGTATCAAGGTGAGGACAGCCAGCGTAGCAGCATGCGATCCGATGGAGAAGCAGTGTACAGCGCTGGCAGCGGAAGAGGAAAAGGCTCTGGGCCCTTTGGCTCTGGTTGCTACATCTGTGGCAGCAAGTGGCATCTGGCGGCTGACTGCCCGGTTCGTGGAAAAGGAAAAGGCAACGGCAAGCCATCGACAAAGGGCAAGGGCAAAGGAAAGTTCCGTAAGGGCAAGTCGAAGGGCAAGTACAAGGGCAAATCCAGCGGAAAGAGTGCAGGCAAGTACCGTCCTCAGAAGGGTGCATGGGGTTCTGGAAAGTCAAGCTCCTGGCACCCGCGCTACTTCGTGAACTACGATCACGACTACGACTACGATGAACCTTCTCAGCTTCGACATGCCCGAGTTGGCCTTCACCTTGGAGATTCTCCTCCTAAAGAACCTCCTCGACCACCAGTACCTTCGACAATGACGCAGCACTTCGATATCAAGGACCCGCCTGGCACGAGAAGCGAGTATTTCGAAGACCTACTTCGTCTGGAGAGAGCGGGCAAGGCGACCACGACGGTGTCCACTGAGGATGCGACGGCTACGACCTTAGATCAGAATGCGGAAGCCTCCACGGCGGCGCCTTCGAAGAACCTTACCTTCTTCTTCCGCACGAACGAGGACAACAGCGACAACGAAGAAGGCGAGCGACATCGAACCTACCATGGACAACCAGAGACGAGCGACATCTTCCACACCGTCGGCGGACGACGACGTCGAGGTCTGATCATTGATCCTGGAGCAGCGAACGGGCTCATCGGCACGGAGACGCTACGAGACCTTCTCAACAACATTGACAAGGCAAAGCAGGTCAACGACACCCTGGTCTGGAAGCCCAAGCAGTCCGAGGTCACCGGAGTCAGCGGTGCTGCTGATACGACGCTGGGAGAGGTTACCCTGGCGCTCCCGATGATCCCTGGATTGGAGTCTGCTCACTACAAGGCAGATGTCATTGGTGGCGAGGCGAGCATGTGCCCAGCTTTGGTAGGCAATCCTGCCCTTGTGAACATGAAAGCAGTACTCGCCTCCAACTGGTTCTCCAACAAGGATGGCCTCCTCATCATCCCCGACAGCGAGAACGAGATGCACATGATCCGCCTCCTGTGCACCGACTCCAGACACTACCTCCTTCCCTTGGACTCCGAGACCGATGCTGCTCAGTCCTCCGAAACGTTTGAGAAGGCCAAGACGTTTCTGATGCAAGCAGCGGACAAGTCCAAGGAAAAGTGGAACGATGTCAGAACATGGTTCGCATGGGTGACGACGCCAAAGCGGAAGCGGAGTCAAGATGTACATCGACCACAAGCAGACGACCACGACATGCACTACCAGGACATGGTTGACGACGTTGACCTCATGAACTACCAGAAGAGCTCTGACCACGACACGAGGAAGAAAGAAGTGCACTTTGACGTCGAGAAGACTCCAACAGCGACGACTACCGCATCACCCGAGAACGTGGCCGACTCTGGGGCCAAGGCAGATCAGATTGCCTCAGGCGAAAAGACTCCGACAGCGACAACCACATCACGCAAGAACGTGATCGACTCTGGGGCATCCAATGATAGTGAAGCAGTCGAAGTAGCGCCAGACCAGCAGTTCCGTTTTGCCACGCAAATCCTGTCTGACGAGGTTCTGGCGACATCGACCATAGAGGCAAAGTTCGACACTCCCACAGTCTATCCCGGTGACAGTCATCCTCCAGGACCACCAGCGCAAAGGGCGCAAAAGCTGGATCGTCAGTACAAGGCCATTCACGAGGAGTTCTACAACAAGTCTGGTTATCTGCCAGTCTCCCCAGAAAATTTCCATCAATGGAAGCAGACCACGAAGGCAAAGAAGAAGGCCCAGTTTGGGAAATCTGCAGCGGCTCTGGAAGGTTGTCTTACATCGCAATGCTTGCTGGACTCACTGTGGCTTTCCCTGTGGACTTCAGGTATGGCTGGGATCTCGGCAACTCCAGCCATCAAACTATGCTGCTGGAAGCTCAAAGTCAACTGCAACCTGACGTGATCATGCTCTCTCCTTCTTGCGGACCCTGGAGCACCTCGGCCAATCGTCTGGCTCCAGAGGATTCTGAACGTCTTCGAGAGGAAGAACGACGCACACTCACTTTCATCAAGAAGCTTGCGAAGAACCAAGTCGACGAAGGACGTGGTGTGCTGATCGAGAATCCATGGGGATCTGCTTTGTGGAAAAAGTCGGTTCTGGCCAACATCGAGAACGAGATTCCCAGTTTTCGGCCGAAGCAGAGAGCAGATCAGTGTGCCTACGGTGCGATTGATGAGCACGGCAAGCCCATCCAGAAAGCCACCGGTGTGCAAGCCAACTTCACAATAAGGAGCTCGACGCAGCGTTGCCGAGGACATCGTCAAGGTCATGGTGTCCTGCAAGCCACATTCAAGGGCATGAATCGTACCACCCTGGCTGCAGTATATCCACATCAATTCTGCAGGGCCATGGTGAAGGACATCAAGAAGTTCATAGCGAAGTCTGCGGAGTCATTCTTCGTCGGCTACAAGTGTCAGAAGTGCGCCTTGGGGAAGGATGCGCCCCCAGGCACGCAACACACTTTGGTTCCTCGAGAATGTCGACACGCCTCAGCACTTCCGACACCCGCGACATCCTCAAGCAGCCGAACCACCTCATGTGCGGACGGCAGTGACTACACCTATGCCACAGATTCTTGAGGAGTACAAGCAGGCAGCGATGAGGAAACCCAATTTGGATGACATCAAGCTGCAGCTTCCCGAAGAGTTCGTCATGACTGCAATCGACACCTTCATGATCAAAAGTCTACTGACCGACTTGGTGAACGACAGTGTCAACATCATCTCGGAGAAGAAGGGCAAGCACAATCATTGGAGCCAAGACCCGCTTCACCTTGCGATTCTGAGAAAGGTCTTCAACAAGGTCATGAACGTCAAGGGCGTGTGCACCTCGTTGCATGCGGAAACATTTCCCCTGCCCATGCCTTTCCTTCGTACCGAATCTGCACCTCTCAGGATGATCATTCGTGGAGAAGTTAAGGCATGGACACTCAAGCCCATTGAAGACCTCAGGACTTACACCGACAGTCAGCTCAAGGCGAAGTCCTACAATGAAGACTGGGTGATTGCCATCTTCGGCTCGGCTCCAAGGGACAAGGATTACTGGGAGATCGACCGCGCGAGAGGACGAGCACTACGACATCATCTACAACCACGTGTTGCGCTGTTCACGCCTAGAGAGGATGAAGGTCCCATCAACATCGAGGAGCTGACCTCAGCTAGGACCACCATGGCTACTCCGCGATGAGTGGACCTCACGAGACAGTTCCAGAGCAGCTCTGGAACAAGGACGATGGACAGGCGCCACGGAGTTCCAGATTCAGGCCCCAGATGACGACGAGGAGGAGCACAAGGATCCGATCGAGAAGAGCGCTGAAGCACGCGAACAGCAGCTCGACAATGAGGATCAACAAGCCGAAGCGGAAAACAATGACGTGATGGATCTAGAAGATTCAGGCGCTTCCATCGATCCACCACGCAGGTCCAACTTCGACTTCAGGCGAGTTCTGGTACGACTTCCTCGACTGGCGCGCAACGACGTGGAGCAGGCCAAGCGACTCATACTTGGCTTACACGAACGCTTCTGGCACGCCAACGCTGGCGATCTTCAGTCATTGCTGACGAAGTCAGGCATGCCTTCGGATGTCGTGAAGCTGGTGCCAGAGGTCGTAGCAGGCTGCTCCATATGCCGCAAGTACAGCAAGCTGAAATCGAAGCCGACTGTGAAGGCGAAACATCCCATGACGTTTGGCGAAGAGGTTCAGGCCGATTACTTTCAACTGTGGGATCAATGGTTCCGCTGGCTTCGCTTCTTTGGCCCTATGAGGAAGCTGGTGTCTGATCAAGAGTCATGCCTCATGTCACATGAGGCAGCTGCTGAACTAGAGCGCCTGAACATCAGCCGTGAACCAGCTGGAACTACACGAGGCAAGGCGCAAGGGCAGCACACCACAACAGGCTTGGTGGAAAAGCGCACGGACCTGGTCAAGATTCATATGCTGAAGATACGTGCCGAAGCCGAACGTGCTGGACTAGAAATCAGCGAGAGCGACATCGCGGCCGAAGCTGGTTTCGCACAGAATGCTACCGTGAACCTGGCCGGATACACTCCACACATGTTGGTCACGGGCAGTTTGCCCTTTCCGTTCTATGACATCGATTCTGCTGGATTGCAAACCGTCTCAGGTGCCAACATGACACGTCCCTCGGTCTTTGAGCATGCACTTCGGCTGAGGCAGATCGCGTTGGCAGCAGCGTCACAGGCCATCACGGAGGACCGCGTTGCGCGTGCTGGCCACACTAGACCGCAGAGGCTTCCTACGGAGAACATGCAGCCCGGCGTCACTGAGATTGAATTCCACCGCGAGGATGCCGATGGTCTGGGTTGGCGTGGTCCCGGGTTATTGCTGAAGCTGCAGGACAATGGCTCAGCAATCATTGAATATCAGGGACGTCCGTACCTGGTGCCACTCAGAAACCTCCGGATCTTCCGTGGGACGTATTATGCCAACCACCTCTCTGAGGTTGACAACAAGCGGCAGCAAGAGCTGGATTCATGGCTCTCACTGCGGTCCTTGATGCAGAGCACCGAGGCCTGTGTTCCCTTTAGGATTGATACCTTCGGCCACCTCAAGAATTCCACAGGCAAGTGGACACTCCTTCCCAAGGCGATGGATCCCAGACAACGTCAAGGTATCCTCGATGACATCGTCAAGGCGGCGAACTTCCTCACCAGTAAGGAGTGTCATGGAATTTGTGTGGGCATTGCTCCTGCCGGCGCGACTGGAACTCTGGTTGCATGGAAGAAGCATACCGTTAGGATCTCCATCGTCGACAATCCGCGCGGCGCACACATGGCCACAACCAATACCCGCATGACTGGTCGTGAGGACATGTGTTTCATCTACTTCTACAGCTATGCGGAGGACTTCGTGGAACCACCACCTGCCGAGTGGTTACCACGCGGCACTCCGATGGAAGAAGCTCCTTTAGTTCCAGCGGATCCACCGTCAGCAGCTCGATCATCTCCTGAGACGATCACTGAGTCGATGGATGTGGATCCTGCCTCCTCAAAACGCGATGGTCCTGAGTCTCGGACAGTCACGCTTGGCTCGGAGAACAAGAAGCAACGCACGTCCTGGACTTTGCCACCTTCGGAGTTCATGGACGAGACCTTCATGAACATGGTGCGTTCAAGACGGGTCGTTCAGCTAGACGAGGTTGCTGAGGACAAGCCAACCGAGTCCTTTCACTCGTCGTTGCCGACAACATCTTCTTCCAACCTCTTTTACATGTCCACACCTGGGTGGTTGGCAGATTTGCACGTCGGCGACATCTTTCGCGTTGACTCCGAGACGGACTTGATCTCCGAAGATGAGGCCTATAACATATGGCCAGAGTGCGAGGAGGGCGACTTAAAGGAAGTTGGTCAGTTTGTTGATCAAGATGCTTTCAAGCCAGTGCGTCGCGACGAGCTGGGCAAGGACTGTGCCATCATTGACGCCATATGGGTCAGAAAGTGGAAGCGCACCGCCACAGGCAAGATCGTGAAGAGCCGACTCTGTGCCAGAGGGTGCCGTGACCCATGGAAGCATTTGATGAGCAGCCCGGTCGACTACCGCCACGAGGCTTTCTCAACGACTCATCCTCCTTTCTGCGGCCAACGTCCGGGGCAAGATCTTGGAGAGCTGGGGCGTGGCAGGTGCCTTTCTAAAAGGGCTGACGTACAAAGAGCTATGGCGAGCACTTCGTGAGTTGGGGCTTCAAACGGTCGAACGACTCATCGCCATCGACCCCCCGAGGAATGTCTGGAGACATCTCAAGAGACTGGGTAAGCGCTTCAACATTCCCGAGGAAGACCTTCACCTGTGCGTCTTTCTTTGTCTGAAACCTGTGTGTGGCCTGTCAGAAGCACCTTTGGCTTGGCAGCTGTTTCTCCACAAGTTTCTTCGTGAGCTTGGTGCCCAGCAATCTCATTTTGATGAGAACTACTGGTTCTGGCCTGCCAATACTCAAGGTGCCTGGCCACGATCATCCCTCACAACACACGTGGATGATCTTGCAGTGGAAGGTTTCAAACGCTGGCTCGATGATACTTTCATCCACATGGTCAAGAAGTTTGGTAAACTGTCCCGAGAGAGCTTGCCATTCAACCATTGTGGCTGCAGATACTCTGCCACGAGTGACGGTCTCAAGGTCGACCAGAGCGAGTACGTGAACATGCTGAAGCCCGTGGATGTCAACAAGGATGACTCCGATGATCGTTTCTTGACTCCCCAGGAAACGACCACGCTTCGCTCAGCTGTGGGCGGTTTGATGTGGACGAGTTTGACGCGTCCTGACCTACTTGCTGAACTATCATGTCTGCAGAGCATCATGAACAAGGGGCAAGTCAAGCACCTCAAGGACGTCAACCTCCTCATTGACCGCGCAAAGAGGGACAAGGATGCGGCCATTTTCTACCGACCTCTCCTGGAGGCCCGCTATCGCATAGTTGTGATCCACGATGCCTCAGCTGCCACCTCGACGAAGAACTATGCTCAAGAAGGTGTGATCGTTGTGCTGATGAATGACTTCATCGACACCGACCGCAACCACATCATCGCTAGTGACGAGTTCGCGAGGTCTACGCTCAGTGGCAAGGCTCAACTATTGCACGTCCAGTCAAGCAAGGCGAAGAGAGTTTCATACTCAACCAGTCACGGCGAAACATTGGCCGCGATAAACGGCCTAGAGTGTGCTACGCTGGTGACAGCCAGGTTGGCAGAGATAACATATGGGCCGACTCGGCCATCTGTTGCTCAGCTTTTGGCGGTGCAGGAAAACGGCTGCGTCTGGTTCCCCGCTGACAGTCATACAGACTGTAAAGACTTTTACGAATTGTCGACAGGGGCGAGGGCGATACCACAGGATAAGAGTCAACGACTCTATCTTATCGCCCATCGTGAGGCGCGAGCCTCCGGAAGACTTCGTTGGCTCATACTTACGCCTACTGAATGTATGACAGCGGATTCTCTCACGAAGGTGATGACTTCACCATGCATGATGAAATGGCTCACCACCGGATGCATCGACTTCTGGAATACGGGTCATCCTCTTGACCATTCTGATCAGCATCTCTTCGGCCGCGATGGCTGTTTCTCTGGACCGGTGCTGTTGCAGGCGAGCTTCACCGCCTTCTACGACTGCCTCCACGGCTTCTTCTTCGGCAAGTGCGGCAGCGGGTCCAACTACTGCGCCCTCTACAACTGCTGCTGCTCCTTCTGCAGTGAGTGCTACGACAAGCACTACTGAACCTGCTAGTCTTGATGTGTACGTTCGGAAGGGCGGTCATGCCTACCACACACCTCAATGCGTGTATGCGCAGGGTGGTAAGAGATATGCACCTTGTGGTTTCTGCAACCCTCGTGAGAGGCAGGGTCGCTGAGGGCTCCGACATTCCAAAGCTGGAAGCGGAGTCAAATTGTACATGTACACTCTTTGTGCACTTTAGATGCATTCACCTGTACTGTGTAGCCGGCTTGAGCTATCAGGAAAAGGGACCAGATTTGATTCATTGTACACCAACCGCAGGAGAGACTTATCATCACAAGCAGTTGACTGCCAGGCGCTGAATCTAACATCGCACTGTCAGCCTGACAATGGCACGACATTGCCATAGTCATAGAGATGCAGCCTTGTCTCTAAGACATGTGCAACAAGGTTTGGGAAAGTCCTATGTACGATGCTGAAGGGTTCTGCAGGGAGTACTGTAGGTAGCCACTTTTCCCATTCTTCAACCCCAGAGCTAGCTGTGCCAGTTGATGTCCTCCTTCTCTAAACACCGAGCATGTCTGCGCGTCTGTAGACAAGCCACTCGTCCACTTGTACCAAGCTCTGCGCAGGCAAAGGTTTACATGAGAACTTGAAACCAAGGGTTTCATTTCCAAGAGGTATGCTAGAAAAACTGTGCACGTAGTCTTCAGGGTTGAAAATCAGATTCTTGAATCGCCATCGCTCAGGTGCGCAGATGTACGTCAAGATGTGCAGACCTGTGTGGGACCTTGCTTGCCACTGGGGTTCAAGTTCTAAAGGAGGGTCGTTAGCATGTTGCCATGGCAAAGCTGCACGACTTGGTTTACTGCCAGTTAGTGGGCGCTTCGGGAGAGATTCCTGTGTGTGGATGGGTAATCGCAGAGATTGAAGGGGATATTGTGCTGGCTACCGCGCCGAACGCTGTGACATCCTTGGACCAGAAATTGGAAGTCACCGTTGGAGAGGTTCGGGTTGGCTTGGTTCGTGTCCCCGCTTCTGCGGCTTCTCTTAGCTCCCCTTCTACTTGGGAAGGCCTTAGGCCTGCTGAGCTTCCAGTGTTGAGCGCCGCCCAACCTGCATGGAAGAAGTCAAAGGAGGCATTCCTAGAGAGCAGCGAGGCGTCGGCGCCGGAGGCATCTTCAAGGAAGGTAAGGGGCCGCAAGTCCCTGGCTTCGGAGTTGGCAGGGCTGCAGGGCCTTTTTGCTCAGAAGGGGGTCGAGGGATCGGACGACGAAGACGACGAGGAGAGCGACAACGAGATTCTTTTGCTGAAAGGTCCGAAGAACCGTTACCTCCCGCCAGGTGGGAGTGCCGAAGGCAAGGTCAAGAAAGAGAAGAAGCCAGCTTCCGGACACTCGAGCGCAGTGATGAAGGACCTCCTGCAGCAAAGCCTGGCCCATGGCCAAAACCCTTCCGAGATCCTGCCCGTGATGATGCTGGCCATGCTCCTCGACCGGGACAAGGACAAGGGTGGCAAGAAAAAGCATCGCAAGGTGAAGGACGACGAGGGCTTAGACTTCCTTGGTGGTTCCGACTCAGAGAGCTCAAGCGAAGGCGAGGGGCAAAAGGGAAAGACTACTGGGATGAGAGCCGTCTCCAGCCTGCGCAAGATGCATCGCAGGGTGAGGCGGGCTCAGTGGATCCTTGCGCATGGTTACCCTCTGATCGTGCTGAAGTCCTACGTAATCTGCATGAATTGAGGAAGCTTGAGATTGCATGGAGTGATGTGGTGGTTGCCTGTCATCGAGTCCCCGTGTCTGAAGAGGCTGGCTTGGCTGAGCACCTGTTGGCGTCTCGCATGGCGGTGCTGGTTCCGGAGCAAGATTTGCCCCGTACGGAGGCGGGCCGGCTTCTGACAGGTGGACTGTTCTGTGTGGGCAAAAATGAGCGCGAGGACAGACTAATCTTTGATCGCAGGCCGGAGAATGCGACCATGGAGAAGCTCAAATGGGCGGAGCTGCCCAGTGGTGCGTGCTTTACCCGTATGCTGCTGAAACCTAACCAGTATGTCCGGGGTTCGGGTCAAGACCTACGCAATTATTATAGCCTGATGTTGCCCGATGGATGGGTCAGGTGCAATTCTGTGGGTCGTCGAGTTTGTCCCGAAGTGGTTCGACGTTTTGGCGGTGATCCAGGTGTAGCTTACCGACTTTGCTTTCGTGTGTTGGGTATGGGGGATGTGAA